TCCTGCGAGCTGTTCTGTCTGATATTTTTCTTGGTCTTCCAGATCTTGCTTTAACTTCCACTGTTCCTGATGACTGCCATTTCTTAATTACATTCCGAACAGAGGATATTGACATCTGAAAACGCTTTGCTATGTTCTTATAGCCTTCTCCAGCTTTGTGAGCGTCAACTATTTTCAGTTTCAGTTTTCTAGACAACTGCTTAGAAGAACCCACGGTGCTGATTGTTGGGGCAAGGTCAGATGAGTCTGGGCATTTAAAACCTTTGAGATTGACATCATCTGGTCTTCCCAGACGATGATTGAGAACAATCCATGACACTGGCAGGTCTCAGCTTGGCAAAAGGGGCAGTGCATGCTATAAATTCTGCAGGGTGCCCAAACTTTTGCAGATGCCATTTTTTTGTTTTCTGTTATTTTGAAAGTGTAAATGATGGAAATAAAATCTAACTTTTGTTGACATATTATAAGAATGTCTAATCTGTAATTTGATGCCTTTTGGAGATTTTTCCATCTTTCCTTGGCTTCTTTAGGCACATTAATACAAATTTTTAGCTGGGGTGCCCAAACTTTCAATCCCCACTGTATATCAATGCATAGGCTGAGGGCATCTTGCTGTAAAAGGTAGTTATAGGTTGGAGTGGTTGCCATTTTATTCTACAGTTCGTAGAATTGTGTGCAGGGATGCACTGGATGCCATCACTAACATTGTGCTATTGCCGGGCGTCACATGCGTCCCTGTGCCTTTAGTAAGTGGTGGGCTCCCTTCAGGCACACCTGCCCTCAACCTATCCCTTGATATACGTGCTCCTACTATGGAGGCTCTGAAAATCATAATTAGGACCACAGTATACAGAGGTCCCTTGACGTAGGCACTGCGGCTTACAAATGTATTTGCAAGTGTGTGCAAACAAAACCCTCTGTTTTTAATGTAGACTGTTAGAATTTAGCAATTTGGTTGTTTTGCAGGCTGGCTGGTAAGTGTGCTGGAAAATCTTTTAACTGCGACAGTTTTAATAACACATGCCAAAGTTGCCAACCTACATTCAGGTGTTAGGATTAGATTTTTTGGTTTTTTTCATCATTAAATTTTTGTAAAGGCAGAAGGTTTTTTTTACCTTCCTGTATTCTATACATTAAGACAAAAACCTTCTGCATGCAGTTCCCCTCCCCCCAGCCCCCCCTTATACTTACATGAGCCCCATCTTGATCAAGTGCTGTGCACGAGAACAGGGGCTCTCTCCCTCTCAGTCAGCCAGACACAGCAGAGGGAGTCATTGGCTCCTGTTTCTGTCAATACCAGCCAATGAGGTGGGAGCTGGAGGTATGTGTCTTATGGACACACAGAGCTGGCTTGGGAGCAAGCATGCACAAGTGCTCCCAGAGCTTGCTATAGGGGCACTTTCCTCTGGGGGGGAGGCGGTGAATCTGAGGAGGATCAGGGCAGCTCTGTGCATTTGCACAGAGCAGGTAAGTATGACATATTTGTTATTAATAAAAGAAAAAAAATTGCCTTTACAATCACTTTAAAGCGGAGCCCCACCCAAAAGGAGAAGTTCTGTTTTAAAGACTGGTGCCCCGCTCCCCATTAGGGATTGGCACCTTTGGAGAGCGGGTACCCGAAATTGACAGGTACCTGCTCCCACTTCCGCTGCAATCGCCTAGGCCAGTGGTCGGCAAGCCGTGGCTTGCGAGCCACATGCGGCTCTTTACACAGTTTAATGCGGCTCTTCTGTGTGCCGGGCGCGCCCGCTCCCCTCCCTTCTCTTGGGTGGCTGCCCCAAAAGTCAGGCAAACTACGGCCCGCATATGGCCCGGCGGACCTTTTAATCCAGCCCGCGGAGCGTGGCAAACATTGGCTGTCAGGATGTAGGCGGGGCAGCGTGACAAACTCCTCTCACAGTCCGCCCTGAAGACCGAAACGGCGAGAGGAACGCACGGAGCAAAGGTAAGTGAATTGACACAATATGGGGAATGAATTACTATAGGGGGATGAATTACTATAGGGGGGATGAATTACTATGGGGGATGAATTACTATATGGGGGATGAATTACTATATGGGGGATGAATTACTATGGGGGATGAATTACTATATGGGGGATGAATTACTATGGGGGATGAATTACTATATGGGGGATGAATTACTATATGGGGGATGAATTACTATGGGGGATGAATTACTATATGGGGGATGAATTACTATATGGGGGATGAATTACTATGGGAGATGAATTACTATGGGGGATGAATTACTATATGGGGGATGTATTTTCAGTTTTAAAAATGTGGCTCTCAAAATAAATTTCAATCGTGGTTTTGGCGAGATTTGGCTCAGTTGAAAAAAAAGGTTGCCCACCACTGGCCTAGGCGATCGGATGCAGAAGCTGTTCTCCCCCCTTCCCTCCAAGTTGTCTTCTGGGACACATGACAGGTCCCAGAAGGCTACGGGGCCATTCAGGAAGCGCAGCGCTACCAAGCTGTCACAGCCAGGTGCCCACACTGAACATGCCGGCTCCTGGAATACAGGACGGCTGGTGAAACAAGCTGGGGGGGGGGGACAGCGCAGGATCGTGGGACAGGTAAGTGGCAGTTTTTTAAAAGTCAGCAGCTACAGTTTTTGTAGCTGCTGACATTTATTTTTTCAGTGTGGCTGGAGCTACGCTTTACAGTATAGCTAATGGCGAAACGTATTCTTCTTTCACTTTCCACGATAATGGTAAACAGGGGAAGGTGAATCTCCCTAACGGGAGCACAGACATGAATGATAAAACCTGACGGTGTTCTAATCCCTCTCCAGTCTATTCAAAACGAAAAATGTTCCCTTCAGTTATACTATAAGGGGTTAAAGAGAAAATAATGTCACCTTATTTACCAACATTTGTTTTTAAAAGCAAATTACCTCTGCCGTTTTAGTCAATGAGCCTGCTTTGTGTTAACCAACTCACTCTGGCAAAGCAGCAATCAAAGGGTTAACGTCTATTACAAGCCTTTGGCTCTCCACGCTCAGATAGAAAACAGGCGTTGTGGTAGTGTGACAGTTTTCAGGAGTAGTAATATATAACATACAAATAATAATAATAAAGTAACCAAGCATAAGAAAAACATTTGATACATGAAGTAGTCAGTAGTTTCAGATCACTCACCGCCTGCACTGTCCTTTCTGCCTGGACTGGAGCTTCTGTGAAAATACTGTACTGATTCTTCTAAGTCACATGGTATGCTCAGCTAACTATGTTTACATGCTGAGCTGAGTAAACAAGTTATGAGACATATCAGATAGTGACACTCTCTATAGGCACAGAGACAAAAAAAAAAAACAAAAAAACTGACAAAAGAGTTTTTAACCCTTTTCTACTCAATTCAAAATGGGGAAAAAAGTTTTGGCTAAAGATATATTTTAAAGGAAGTGCACTCATCTGGGCCACAATGTGGGGGCAGCACTTATGTGCTGTATGTGTGAAAGTAATCCAGTCACCATGAATTCAGTCGCTGTTTAAAGCAATATTAAACTTAAAAAATAAAAAGTGCAGATAGGTAGGATTTTTATGATCCTAATGGTCTCTTCTGTTGTAAATGCTTCTCCCTGCCTGTTACTGGTAATGTACACAGAACCGCGCATGCACAGCTCAGAGTATATTTACTGTACTCACTCTGTATCATAATAAAGTAAATCCCGCAAACGTGCAGGAGGTAAGTCATTGTGGCCCGGCCATTCAAGTGGTGGAACAGAGCAAACCTGAATAGAAGACTGGGAGAAGATGGAGCAACCGAGCACTGAGAGATCAGCACTGGCGGGCATCCTTTGACGGGCAAGTCTGTCAAAGTGTGCTAGTATACAGGGCATACTAGCACATTATGGTATAAACCTACAAGGGGGAATTTGAGAAAATTCCTCTGTAAAAGTGCCTTAAAATGTTCCCTTCACCCTCCTGTTCCCTACGCTGTCTAACCCGTGTAGATAAAGATGTGTGTACTTACCTATGTTTAGCCCACTCCAGTCACCTGATGCCCTGTGTTAGTGAGCAGCAGCTGCAGGAGAGATAAGGGAGCACACGGAATTCTGGGAATGGTTTCCATGTCCCAGCCATTGTCAGTACTTCTTCCTCTCCCCTGCAGCCACTGCTGACTGACAGAGGGGAGCCAGCGCTGCAGATCATATGGCTGGACAGGAGCAGACACAAATAGGTCATTATACAGATCTCTGTTATACAGGATAGGCAGCAGAAGGGGGGGGGGATTTTTAGGACTAGTTAGTGTTAAGCTGGCTGTAGATGGAGCTAAGTGGCTGCAGCACTGATCGAACAAAAATGTTTGAATGATCCGGTCAGTGAGAAGTCAATCATTAAGCTGACTTCTCATGAACAGGAATGGCCATTGTTGGATCAAAATGTGGCCGTTCCCTGATGAACCAGCCAGATTTCGATCCATCTACAGCCAGCTTTAGGTTGGAATTCTAGTTTACGCTGTTCACAGAGATCGGTGATTTACGAATATTCTGTAACTGCCTACAGCAAAGCATTAGGCCTCAGTTCTTCAGAAATGCATAACGAAGCTTGCTAAATGATTGTTTAATCACTTGCCCCCCAGAGGATTTAGCTCCCTTCCTGACCAGGCCATTTTTTGTGATACAGCATATGGCAATTGCACGGTCATGCAACACTGCACCCAAATTAAATTTATGTCCTTTTTTCCCACAAATAGAGCTTTCTTTCAGTGGTGTTTGATTGCCTCTGCATTTTTAATTTTTTGCGCTATAAATCAACAATTGTGAAAAAAGAACAATATTTTTGACTTTTTGATATAAAACATCCAGTAAAAAAATGTAAAAATCAAATTTCGTCATAAATTTCAGACAAAATGTATTCTGCTAAAAAAATCCCAATAAGTGTAAGTTAATTGATTTATGTGAAAGCTATAGCATCTACAAATGGCGATAAATGTACAGGAATGATCTTTTTTATACTTGTAATGGCACAGATCAGCGACTTACAGCAGGACTGCGGGACTGTGGCAGGCATTCTGACACTGGGGGGAATTAACTGTCACTGACACCCCCGGTGACACTAATACAGTGATCAGTGCTAATAAAAAGCACTGACACTGTACTAATGGCACTGGGCAGGAAGGGGTTAACATCTGGGGTGATCAAAGGGTTAACTGTGTGCTGTGTGTTTTACTCTGTAAACACGCTTCTTTGTATGCAGAGCGATAAAAAGCACTGTGCTGGAGCTGACAGGGGAGAGATCTGTATTATATTTGTTTTCTTTTGTTTACAAACAATTTTATTAAAAGATAGATTGCAATACAGCACATCATACATAAAATAGCATGAATAAAAAAAAAAGGCACATAAGCAGTTTACAATAAAACAACGATAGTTACAAAATAATTACAGATCAAGTACATGAAAAAGGTAGTCAATAATGTAGGCAGATTAACCACATAACTGACCAAGAATCGAGATCTGTATTGTTTACATATAGACCTCTCCTCTGTCACTGTTCCTCAGCAATTGCCGGGTGCCAGTGGGGAATCTCTGGCTGCGACCCGGTGATCGACAGCTGAAGCCGCCAATGGCAATACAAAATCACCTATATATTCGTGAGTTTGCACAGCCCTGCCTCCCTGTAGCAGTAGTTCTGCTATAAGGTGGTCGGGAAGTAGTTAAAGGCTAAGTTCATCTTTAAAAAAAATAAATATATATGCACAAAAAAAATGTGCATTTACTATTTTTTTTTTTGTAGGATCCTGTGTAAAGCATTGCACCCACGATCAGCAGATCACGTGAGTAATGCAGGGCTCCTGCAGACCGTCAGTGTAAGTTGTCTGCTCATACCTCGTACAGCCAGGGAGTTACAGAATGATAGCAGGAATCAATGGATTACTAAGAGCGCTCTCCAGCGCCCTCGCAGGCCATTGAGAACTGCAAGCCATCAGCTGCAAAGTCTGTCAGTACTTGTAGTTCATTCATTCACAAAAGCCCCGCACGGCCTTGCTGTTTTCAAATGATGACAGTGGGTGCGGGGAAAAGATCCCTGGTCTGCTGTCATGGGAGTGGAGGAATAAGATAGCTGCAGAAGCGGGAAAATGTTACATATTCAACCCTAAAAACGGGTGGAACATGTAACATGTTCCCAAAGGTGAATTCAACCTTGAAGGCTACAGTCATGCTGAGTTACTGCTGATCTCTACACCCTTTTTTTGAAGCCACTTCCTGTCTAGATGCACTGCAGCAATAGCCACATGGCATAACGCAGGGTGGGTTTCCTGATGGTGAAAAGAAGTGGGCCGTGCTTGTGTAACATTTGCTGAAATGTAATGTTTGTTTAAACGGCCATTTGTAGTCTACCAGATGCCCGTATGACAGGGTGACAACGCAGGACTATAGTAAGGAGACAGGGATAGAGCATTGTCACTGTATAACAGGAAGTGCCTGAACAAAGACCTTCATGACGGGATCACCGGGGATTTTAATAAAAGCTGCAGACTGAAAATTACTTGTGAAATTACTAAATATAAATGATAAATACTATAAGAGAACTTCACTCTGCTCCCTCACCACTCCAGTCACCACTGTAGGCAAGTCAATTTTACCTGGAACTCACATAGGACTGAGGACTCCTTTTCTGGATGTGACAGTGCTGGGTGCCTCAGCAGCCATTCCCAAAGCACCAACAATGTCATGCAGTGAGGAGTGGAGTAAGTCACATGTTCCACTATACTCAAAAGTGCTTGTTGTACTAGTTCAAAGGCTCAGGTAGAGCCAATGCTAAATGATCAGCATGACAGCCGGGGAATTTGCATTTTCAGGAGATAAGCATAGGCAGCCATGTTTATTTTATGACAGGTTTTCTTTTAGGCCTAACACCCAAAGCCCATATTCATGTGGCTATCTAAAGCCCCAAATAAAAATGATGAGTAAGTATAGTATGCTCTTATCTCTAACATTTTGCTGATGTCCATTTGTTTTTGGCTCAGTGGGAAAGACAATCAGCCAATTTCAATACTCTACTGCAACTAAATATTTGTTTTATAAGAAGTTAAAGGACAGGGTGGAAAATGCTCTGAGTTATGAGGAATATAGGAATATGTACAGGATGTCGGTCTGATGCTCTCTCAACTTGAAAAAACTGTCCTAGCAAAATGTGTGATCAGCTAGAAAATCTAGGAAAAAAACCCACTCATACTCACACTTGGCGGTGGGTAAGCTTTATTTCTATGCACTGAATGGCATCCGCTGAGTGCTGTACAGTGTATGAGTGCAGACGGTGTGATGTCACCAGCTTAAAGTGTTACTAAACCCACAACAGTAAAATCAGTCTGTATATGCAGTAAAGCATGCTTGTTATACTCACTGTGGAACCTACGGGGTTAATCTTCCGCATTGTGTGAAAAGGCTGTTTGATCCTGACTTCTCTGCTCCTCTGCTTGCTCAAATGTCCAATCTGATAAGTCAGACTGAACCTGTAGCTCTTCTGCATATTCTCAGTTTGGTGTGTATTGTAGAGATTGAGTTTTTAATTTTCTTGGGAGAGTGCATGTGATCAGCACAGGGCCAATCAGCACTGTCCAGACAGAGGGTCAGGGGTTTTGCATCCTCCTAGAGCAGAAAGAAAACGCCTCCTATAAGCTTTAACCAGTGCTCAGCTGAAGTCACAAGACTGTTCTAACTGCTGATGAGAAAAGGTACTTAGCAGTTTATATGTACTAACATTTTTGCATTTCCATGTTGTGTGTACTGTGGGAGACCAGATATAGTGAATGCAGGGTCCTGGGTTTAGTAACAGTTTAAGGTGCAGAGGGGGTGGGTTGAATGAGGCTGGCTGTCAATTCACCTGGAAGACCAAGGACATTTAGCAGTGAAAATAAATAACTGCATAAAACAGCTCCGGTCTGAAGGTGAATATTTTTAACAGAAGCTGTTCTTTTATTTTTAGGATTACTGGGCTATTCAATTTTCATTTCATTCATAAAAAAATAAAATCAAGTTCATTGTTGCATGGTGCAATTATCCACATCATTCAGAACCGCAGTACCACAAAAAAAATGTATGTGACAGTGTCACAAGTGACAGACCTCTGCAGAGAGACCACAGCTTCCACACAAAGAGCAAGGGTCCTTCTCTGTAGCTAGCAGGGGACAGCCTTTTCTACTCAGGCTGGGGAAGCTTTCTAAAGAAAAAAAACTGTTTTTGCACATCTTTTGTATTGATGCAGCTGGAATATATTTATTTGATTCAAACAGAAAGTTCAATTAGGCTTTAACACTGAATATAACAAAACAGACTGTGATACTTGATATAATTTATCAGGGCAAAAACATCTTTAACATCTTTGACATCTCAAATTCATTGTAAATGCTAACATTTTTTGTAAAAAAATAACAAAACATACACTTATCTACTCTGTGCAATGGAATTGCACAGAGTGGCCCAATCCTCCTCGTCTTGGGTACCCCGCCGGTGCTCCTCCCCTTTGGTGAGTGCCCCTATAGAGAGCTGCTTTCTATGGGGGGTACTCGTGGGCTTGTTCCTGAGCCTTGCTGTCTGAGTCAGACAGTGGGACTTGGCCTTGCCCCCTGCTGCCTAGTCACTGGCTTTGTTTGACAGCAGTGGGAGCCAATGACTCATGCTGCCTCAGCAAAGCCTGAGAGACCAAGAAGTGAGGGAACAGAGAAGCTGTAGATGGGCACAGCGCTGAATCGAATAAGGGCTCAGGTACGTATTGGGAGGGTTGGGGAGGATACTACTGCCTAAACATTTTTGACCTTAGTGTAAGGAATGTACTATGCAATTGCAAAGTACAGACTATGAAATTACATTAGTTAATATGTTATGTGAACTTTGATAGACATCAAGCATTAAGCAACAGATTATCAGGCACTGGTACTGGTTACCAAATACTGGTAGTGAAACTAAACCCTCCTATCCTTTTACAGCCAAGAAACCTTACATTTTATCCTGTTTGATCTGTAGCTGCCATACTGCTGCACATGGGATTATTTACGACACAGCCATTTGATGGCTTGACAGTTTGGTTGAGAGCACAAGCAACTGTTACAGTTATCATTCATGGCATGCCTGTTTTTGGAAATGTTTAAATTGATGGGTTTAGTTCCACTTTAGGGACAGCTGTACAAGTACAAGATGTCCATTAATGGGTGCATTAAAGGGGAAGTTGTCCATTAAAGGCCCTTCCTGGAGCCACACAGCCTTGCTTCAGAAAGCAACCTTGATAACTGTTCTTCACTCTGCACAGTGTGGCCTAGTTCATTCCTATGGGAAAAACTGTACTCTGCTGGATGGCTGGAGGCTGCAATGAATATGGCTCAACAAAAGAATGAATGGATCTGCAGTACACATGCAGAGGATGAACAGGACCTGGTAGGGATTCTTTCTGAAGCAAGGCTGTGTGGCTTCAGGCAGAGCTTCACAGTGAATGTCACTGGTAAAATTAGGATGCTATTTTTCCAAGTGGTCTGCACATGGGGGGGGGGCATGCCTTCAAGGACAACTTGTACTAGAGCTACAGTTGTCTCTTAAGGCAGGAACCAGAGTTCTGCAATGTGCTCCTGCACGGTTATGTCATGTGTTGCATTAATCAATTGCGTTACTTTGACAATTGTGCGGACATGCAATGCTGCACCCAAATGAAATGTATGTCCTTTTTTCCCATGAATTGAAAGCACCGACAATTTTGAGAAAAAAAAACAATATTTTGAATTTTTGCTATTAAACATGTCTAGTAAAAAAATAAAAAATATATAAATTTCGTCATATATTTAGGCCAAAATGTGTTCTGTTACATGTGGGGCCTTGTGTTTGTGCTTCACTGTAATCACACTGCTTTGCATGGCTGTGCTCTGCACAGCCATCCAAAACGGTGTGCATGAGCTGACAGGGAGAACTGTTTTGTTTACAAACAATTCTCTTCCCCGTCAGAGATGCTCGGCAATCACCGGGTGCCGGTAAGTAATCACGTATATATACGTTACTTTGCTCCCGTGCCGCCCTGTAGCAGTATATCTGCTATAGGGCAGTTGGGAAGCGGTTAAAGCACCATAATGGCCTTTTAACAGACCTGCATCTTTTCCTCAGCACACTACAATGTACAGAAGGTGTTGTAGTGGGCTAAAACAAAGGTCCATAGTGGTGCATAGAGGATGTGCATTATTACACATGTGCAAGTGATTTTACCATGTGCTACCAAATTGCAAAGGTGTGAAACTGGTCTTAGTGTCTGCTGTATGCCCATTGAAGCTTCCTTACCACCTCTTGAACAGGATTCTCTTCAGATTAACATTTACAAGCTGAGGCTGACTAACACCTGCGTGTATTTAGCATTACGTGAAATCAGTGGTGACAAATTACATATGTGTATTAAATTGTGGATTGTTTTATAGGAATAAGCTAGTATTTGGTTATAAACATTGCAGGAAATGTGTAATTGATCATCTGATGTAAATGGGGGGTAGGTGCTTCTGAAACAATTGCAATGGTGCTGCATTATCTGCTTCAGGAGCAGAGCTAACTATAATTCAAGCAGAATTTTGAGTCCGGGGAATTCTGGGATTGTTTTGAAATTGGCGCCAGGCTGACACGCTGTCCCGGTTTCTTGGACGCCTTTCCAGGATTGTTAGTCCTGTGTTTTGAGATGTCCTCTTTTGGTGCAGTAGTAACAAGTTGGTTCCCGAAGTGCAAGGGAGTACCTCCTACAGGTGCCCCGCCTCCACTTTGCTGTAGTCCAATCAGAACATCTTTCCAGCTGCTCACTGGAAGCATAGAATACTGTCTATCAGCTTGGTCCCCCTGTGAGTGGGGACAGAACGGTCTTCCCAACTTCCTCTTCTGTAGCAGCCCTTTGGCAGATTGACCTTTGCACTTTTTTGGGGGTGTAATACTGGTACTGCTGGAATACTTTGATACTTGATACCGGGTTGCCATTCTTGGTAATGTATTCCGAACGTGCCTGCAGGAGACATGAAAATACAATGTTAAAAGTGTAAATCTAGTGGACATCAAGAAATTTTCCACATTTTGTCATGTTACAATCAAAAACGTAAATGTATTTTATTGGGATTTTATATGATAGACCAACACAAAGTGGCACATAGTTGTGAAGTGGAGGGAAAATGATAAATTGTTTTCAAGTGCAGCGTGCATTTTGCCCATTCTTCTTTGCAAATAGCTCAATCTCTGTCAGGTTGGATGGAGAGGGTCTGTGAACAGCAATTTTCAAGTCTTGCCACATATTCTAAATTGGAATTAGGTCTGGACTTTGATTGAGCCATTCTAACGCATGAATATGATTTGATCTAAACCATTCCATTGTAGCTCTGGCTGTATGTTTAGGGTTGTTGTCCTGCTGGAAGGTGAACTTCTGCCCGTCTCAAGTCTTTTGCAGACTCTAACAGGTTATCTTCTAAGATTGCCCTGTATTTGGCTCCATCCATCTTCCCATCAACTCTGATCAGCTTCCCTGTCCCTACTGAAGGAAAGCAACCCCGCAACATGATACTGCCTCCACGATGATTCCCAGTGGTGTATTCAGGGTAATACGCAATGGTACTTTTCCGCCACACATAGCATTTTGCTTTTAGGCCAAAAAGTTCAATTTTGGTCTCATCTGACCAGAGCACCTTCTTCCGCATGTTTGCTGTGTCCCCCACATGGCTTCTCGCAAACTGCAAATGGGTCTTCTTATGGTTTTCATTCAACAATGGCTTTCTTCTTGTTCCATAAAGGCCAGATTTGTGGAGTGCATGACTAATAGTTGTCCTGTGGACAGATTCTCCCACCTGAGCTGTGGATCTCTGCAGCTCCTCCAGAGTTACCATGGGCCTCTTGGCTGCTTCTCTGATTAATGCTCTCCTTGCCCGGCCTGTCAGCTTAGGTGGACAGCCATGTCTTGGTAGGTTTGCAGTTGTGCCATACTCTTTCCATTTTCGGATGATGGATTGAACAGTGCTCCGTGAGATGTTCAAGGCTTGGGATATTTTTTTTTTATAACCTAAACCCTGCTTTAAACTTCTCCACAAATGTATCTCTGACCTGTCCGGGTGTATTCCTTGGCCTTCATGATGCTGTTTGTTCACTAATGTTCTCTAACAAACCTTTGAGGGCTTCACAGAACAGCTGTATTTATACTAAGATTAAATTACACACAGGTGGACTCTTTATTATTATTTATTATGGGTACTTATATAGCGCCGTCAATTTATGCAGCACTTTACATATATATTGTACATTCACATCAGTCCCTAACCCTCAAAGAGTGTGCAATCTAAGGTCCCTAACTCACATTCATACATACACATACTAGGGCCAATTTAGACAGGAGCCAATTAGCCTACCAGCATGTCTTTGGAGTGTGGGAGGAAACCCACGCAGGCACAGAGAGAACATGCAAAGTCCAGGCAGGTGGTGCTGTGGTTGGGATTCAAGCCGATGTGGCCCGAGTACTGCCAGGCGGAAGTGCTAACCATTTAGCCACTGTGTTGCCCATATTTACTAATTAAGTGACTTCCGAAGGCAATTGGCTTCACTAGATTTTAGGTAGGGGTATTAAAGTAAAGGGGACATGAATAAAAATGCACACCACACTTTTCAGATTTTTTATTTGTAAAAAATTTTGAAAACCATTTATTATTTTCCTTCCACTTCACAATTATGTGCCACTTTGTGTTGGTCTATCGCACAAAATCCCTATAAAATACATTTGCGATTTTGGTTGTAACATGACAAAATGTGGAAATTTTCAAGGGGTATGAATACTTTTTTCAAGGCATTGTAGTTTTGCAGCCAGATGTTTTTTTTATTATGGCTTTTGCTTATCCTAATGTGCATTAGAAGCTCCGGAGCCCACCTCATTTCCTGGCTGAAGGACTTCCAGCGTCATCTAGCCATTTTCATTCCCTGGATTTCAATTCTTTTAATCATGGAGGTTCAAAATCATATGTGGGTGTTACCATAGCTTTGTGTTTTTAGAAAACTATGTACAGCCACCCTCTGGTCATGGTCTGATTGCATTGCATAGAGAGGCACATAAACCTAGTGCTGATGTCAGTACGTCTAACATTGGGTATGTAGGCAGGCAAAATATAAGCACTAGGTATGTAGGAAGACAAAATATAAGCACTAGGTATGTAGGATGGCAAAATATAAACACTAGGTATGTAGGAAGACAAAATAGAAGCACTAGGTATGTAGGAAGACAAAATAGAAGCACTAGGTATGCAGGAAGACAAAATATAAGCACTAGGTATGCAGGAAGGCAAAACATAAGCACTAGGTATGTAGGAAGGCAAAATAGAAGCACTAGGTATGTAGGAAGACAAAATATAAGCACTAGGTATGTAGGAAGACAAAATATAAGCACTAGGTATGTAGGAAGGCAAAATAGAAGCACTAGGTATGTAGGAAGACAAAATATAAGCACTAGGTATGTAGGAAGACAAAATATAAGCACTAGGTATGTAGGAAGGCAAAACATAAGCACTAGGTATGCAGGAAGGCAAAACATAAGCAGATCACACTTGAGCTTTAATACAGTTACACAAATATAAAGTAAGCACTTAAACTGTGAACATCAAAATTAATAATTTACAATAAGCCAGCACTAAGGCCACATTCACAAAACCGATTACAAGTGGCCACCGGATTGCAGCCACAAGAATCAGCACATTTGTGCAGCTGGAATGACTGGGGCATGCGGTTAGCAGCACTGACAGCGGCCGCTGGTAATCACATGTAGCCACACACATAGTGGGTAGCTGAAGTGATGGATGGATATCTGAGCTGGATGCAGTCAGCTGCGTCCAGGTTTAGACTTCTGTCCCGAATCGCATGCCCTGGTCATTCCAGCTGCAAGAATCCGGTGGCTGCATGTAACCAGCTGTGTGATAAAGACCTTAAATAAATTAGACTCTTTAAAAAGCTGTTCAGCTTCATGCTTTTTCAGGTCAGGGTGCTAGAACTGTATCTCTTTGTATAACCATAATGTGAATTAGCTCAATTATGTTACATTAAATGGTTTAAAGAAAAAGTTACCGAATCTTTGTGGCAGTGGTGGGATGCAGAAATGTATCTTCATCTGTTCCAATGGCCTTGGCTTCTGAGGAGTTTGTCACAGCTGGAAGAGCGATTTCTCCTTTCACGTGTCTCATACTCGCTGTCCCTTTCTTTTCTTTGCAGCTCCCTGCACAATGTTCTCTATCCAAAAGTGCTGAAGATGTGTCCTTCTGCCTCCACCGCACATAATTCCCTTGAGCTGTTACTGAGACAATTAGATTAGTGACAGCTATGAAAAGAAAATGCGAAGAAATCAGATAAATGAATCTTGATTCATATTATGGCTGTCAACGGTTCTTAGTGAGGAAAATTTAAAGGTTCGCTATACCCAAAAATACTGTGTTCAGGTAACTAGATGTGGTGTGATGTGGAGCAAAAGATGCAGTTACAGGCAGGGCTACCATTAGAAATCATAGGGCCTGGTACAGGAACTTTTCCTGCCTGTATGCAGACTCTGCACATGTGGTGTGCTAACTGTACAAGCAGAGAGAGGCATATAAACTATGTGCTCGGATACCTGCAGACAGTTCAAATCTACTCTGATGGGGATCTGTGACAGTTTTTTTTATTTTGCAAACTGCAGTGATGCCCTTGGTTTTTAGGCGCTGAACCCATTCCATTTTCTATCTCACTCTGAAAAAGTAACTGATGTGGATGGCATAGATAGATAGGCTTTGTTGATGTTTCCTGCAAAATTATAAAGGTGCAGAAAGCTTTGGTAATTCTCCTGATTATATCTTTTATGTTTTGTAGTGTACCCTAACGTATCATACATAATTTTTTTCCAAACAGATAGGGCTCTATTTGGGTAGCAGATTTACATATATTTATTTTTATTTGCTTTCTATTTATTGG